AAATATGATATCAAGTACCAAATAAAAAGTGTAACTTCAAAACTCATTTGAACCCTTCTGTGGTCACAATTTGCCAAATGAGTCTTTCCATTTGAGGTATAATACAAAATAGTAATAAAATAAAATTATTTTTATAGTGAGTGATTAAATTTTTAAAATCCTCAAATAACTAAACAGTAGAGTTAAACTAGGCTTTACACTCTCTAGGTTTTACAAGCTGTGTTATGATACAAGAAATTGAGCTGAGTTTCAAAGTAGTCAGGCTGCATGAAGCTGTTCAACTGAAGAGAAGCTGTAAAAGCCTAGTAATTAATACTTTGAAAAAAATGAATATCCTTATATTCATTTTTCCTTATATTTCCATATATCCTTATATTCACTTCCGGCCAAGATGGAGGTGTAGGAACATATACTTTGACTCTTCGCACAACCAAAATAAGGACAACAACAAATTTTAAAACAAAAATAGCCAGAACTGCCATGAAATTGAATTGTATAGAAGTCCAACAACAAAGGAATTAAAGAACAAATATTCATCCAGACTGGTAGGAAGGGCAGAGATGGGCAGCTAGGGAAGAGAGGACATGTAGCAAGGTAGCGGCTGGCGGACCAGGCAGTCCCACATTTGTATGCGGATAAACCGGGAGGAACAACTGAGGAGAGAGACAGACTGCTCAACCCAGGGTTCCAGTGTGGAAAAAACAAAGCCTCAGAACCTCGGGCTGTAAAAACCTGTGGGAGATGCAGCAGTGGGAGAAACTCTCAGCCTCACAGGAGAGTTCATTGGAGAGGCCCACATGGTCCTAGAATGTACAGAAACCCACCTATCCAGGAATCAGCACTAGAAGAGCCCAATTTGCTTGTGGATAGTGGGGGAAGTGACTGGAAGCCGGCTGAGAGCTCAGCAAGGGGCATTGTTCCCTCTCTGACCCTCCCACACATACATCGCCACAATGCAACAAAGTGGGTTACCCCACCCTGGTGAATATCTAAGACTGCGCCTCTTACAACATAACAGATGAGCCAAGACAGAGAAATATGGCCTAAAGAAAAGAACAGATCAAAACTATGAACAGTGAAATGACAACAAACTCACACCTATTAACAACTGCACCTAAAAAACCAAAAAACAAAAACAAACTAAGCAAACTAGAACCGGAACAGAATCACATAAATGAAGATCAGAGGGAACAGGAAGCTGGGAGAATGTAGGAAAAGGTACAGGGAATAAGAAACAGAAATAGTAGATACAAAATAGACAGGGGGAGGTTAAGAATAGTATAGGAAATGGAGAAGCCAAAGAACTTGTACGTATGACCCATGGATATGAACTAAGGGTGGAAGGAATGCTGTTGGGAAGGAGGTACAAGGTAGAGGGGAATAAAGGGAATAAATACATGGGACATAACATAATCAATAAAATATACTTTAAAAAAAGAAAAAAGGAATATAAATCCACAAATCTAAATTGTTGTATGTAGTTTTAATTAAATTTATTGGGGTGACATGGTTAATAAAATCATATAGATTTCAAGTGTACAGTTCTATGATATATAGTCTGTATATTGAATTGTGTATTTACCACCCAAAGTCAATTCTTCATCCATCACCATATATTGACCCCCTTTACCCTTCACTACCCCAACCCTTTCCTTTCTCATAAATACACTACTGTTCTCTGGGTCCATGAGTTTTCTTTTGTTTTTGTTCTTATTTGTTCATTTGTTGCTTTCAGTTTTATGTCCCACATAAGAGTGAAACCATAAGGTTCCTGACATTTTCTGTCTATTTCACTTAGCATGATATTCTCAAGATCCATCCATGTTGTTGTAAATGGCAGTATTTTATTTTTTCTTATGGCTGAGTAGTATTCTATTGTATATATGTATCATATTTTCTTTTTTCAATCACCTACTGGGGACACTTTGTTTCCGTGTCTTGGCCACTGTGAATAATGCTGCAATGAACATAAGGGTTCATTGTTCAATGAAAAAAAGGATTCAATTTGAATAAATGTTTTCAAATTTAACCCAGAAGAGGGGTTGCTGGGTCATATGGTACCTCTGTTCTTAATTTTGGGGGGAACTTCCATACTGTTTTTCATAGCAGCTATACCAATTTACATTCCCACCAGCAGTGATAAGCGTTTCTTTTTCTCCACAACCTCTCCAACACTTGTGATTACTTGTCTTGTTGATAATAGCCACTCTAACGGGTGTGAGGTTATGTCTCATTGTAATTTTGATTTGCATTTCTGTCATAGCTAGTGAAGTTGAGCATCTTCTCATATATCTGTTTGCCATTTGTATGTCTTCTTGGGAGAAGTGTCTATTGAGGTCTTCTGCCCATTTTTTATTTATTTATTTTTATTGTTGTTCAATTTCAGTTGTCCCCATTTTCCCCCCATTACTCTCCCCCAGCCATACTCACCCCCTTCTCCCACATTCAATCCTCCCCCAACCCCCATTGTCATTGCCCATAGGTCCTTTATACATGTTCCTTGATGATCTTTTCCCTTCTTTTCCCCATTATCATCCCTCCTCCCCTCTGGTCACTGTCAGTTTGTACTTTATTTCCGTGTCTCTGGTTCTGTTTCACTCACTTGTTTGTTTTGTTGATTAGGTTCCACTTATAGGTGAGATCATACGGTATTTGACTTTCACCGCCTAGTTTATCTCACGTAGCATAATACTCTCCAGTTCCATCCATGCTGTCACGAAGGGTAGGAGCTCCTTCTTTCTTTCCTCTGTGCAGTATTCCATTGTGTAAATGTACCATAGCTTTTTGCTCCACTCATTTACTGGTGGGCACTTAGATTGTTTCCAGCACTTGGCTATTTTAAATTGCGCTGCTATGAATATTGAGGTACATAGGTTCTTTTGAATTGGTGTTTCAGAATTCTTAGGGTAAACTCTGAGCAGTGGAATTGCTGGGTCAAAAAGTAGTCCCATTTTTAGTTTCCTGAGGAAATTCCATACTGTTTTCCACAGTGTATACACTAGCCTGCGTTCCCACCAACAGCGCACTAGGGTTCTCTTTTCTCCACAGCCTCACCAGCACTTGTTGTTTGTTGATTTGTTTATGATGGCTATTCTGACTGGTGTGAAATGGTATCTCATTTTGGTTTTAATTTGCATTTCTCTGATGGCTAGTGATCCTGAGCATCCTTTCCTATGTCTCCGGGCTCTCTGTATGTCTTCCTTGGAGAAGTGTCTGTTCAGGTCCTTTGCCCATTTTTAAATTGGATTATTTGTCTTCTGGTGGGGAGTCATGTGAATTCTTTATATATTTTGGAGACCAAACTTTTGTCAAAGGCACCATTGGCAAATATATTTTCCCATATGGTTGGTTTCCTTTTCATTTTGCTGATGTTTTCTTTAGCCGTGCAGAAACTTTTCAATTTTATGTAGTCTCATTTGTTTATTCTTTCCTTTATGTTCCCTGCTCTATACATGTCAATGAAAATATTGCTGTGTGGAATACCTGAAGTTTTCCTGCCTATGTTCTCCTCTAGGACTTTTATGGTGTCTCAATTTACATTTAAGTCTTTTATCCATCTTGAGTTTATTTTTGTGTATGGCATAAGTTGCTGATCGAGTTTCAATTTTTTGCATATAGCTGTCCAGATCTCCCAACATCATTCATTGAAGAGGCTATTATTATTCCATTTTATGCTTCTGTCTCCTCTGTCAAATTAATTGACCATAGAGACATGGGTTTATTTCTGGGCTCTCTGTTCTGTTCCATTGAACTATGTGTCTGCTTTTATGCCAGTACCAAACTGTTTTGATTACAGTGGTCTTGTAATAGAATTTGATATCAGGTATTGTGATTCCCTCCTACTTTGTCCTTCTTTCTCAAAATTGCTGAGGCTATTTGGGGTCATCTGTTGTTCAGTATAAATTTTTGAAATGTTTGTTTTATATCTGTGAAATATTTCATTGGTATTTTAATAAGGATTGTTTTAAATATATGAATTGCTTTAGGTAATAAGGGAATTTTGATGATGTTAATTCTTCCAATCCACGAACACAGTATAAGCTTCCATTTATTTGTGTCCTCCTTAATTTTTTTCTTCAGTGTTGTGCAGTGTTCTGAGTACAGGTCTTTTACCTCCTTGTTTAGGTTTATTTCTAGGTACTTTATTTTTCTTGTTGTTATAGCAAATAACTTTTTTTTCTGATTTCTGTTTCTGGTATTTTTTGTTGATATACAAAAATGCCTTCAATTTCTGAATATTGATTTTGTATACCCCTGCTTTGCCTAATTCACTTATTAGGTTCAGTAGTTTTTTCATGGAGTCTATCGGGTTTTCTATGTATACTATCATGTCATCTGCAAATAATGACAGTTTTACTTCCTCCTTTCCAATTTGGATGCCTTTCATTTCTTTTTCTCTTCTGGTCACTGTTCTGCCCATTTTTTTAATTGTATTTTTTTTTTTTTTGGCATTGAGTTGTATGAGTTCTTTATATATTTTAAATATTAATCCCTTATCAGGAGGTGCAAATGAAGGATGAAGAAAAAACATAAAAGATGAAAAGAAACACATATTGCTTCATAATAAATACACTGTGTACCTGGCTTTGTGCTAAGTGTTATACAGATATGGAGTTTGTCTCCTTTTCAGTTAACAATTGTGTGGTAGTAAAGACCAAAAGTGAGGCTGGGGGTGCAGAGGTGGGCCCCGCAAGTGTCAAGAAAATATTGTGGGATGAGTAAGGCCTGGAAGAGGGCAGAAAAACTTCATCCACCAAAACAAAGCAACCGTTTTGAAGCCACTCATATTTTGTCATGGCTAACCTACTTGTTGATACTTAGCATTTCGTCATTTCCCTATTTTGTTGTTGCCTGAAATGAGGAGACTGACTTGTTGCCCAGTAATCTCCCTTTTCTTCCTTACGCAAGAAAGGAAATCCTGATGAGAACACACAGTCACAGTACAAGTTAATATTCTTCTCTCTTGGCACTGAACTTCCTAAAATACAGATAAAGTGTTCGTTTCTCAAGATTCCTTTTCCTTGAAACTTACCAACAAATCACTCTTGGATTCAGAAACTGAGGAGAAGGAGAGAGGAAGAGGGAGAGAGAAAAAGGAAGAGAGAAAAAAAGATGAATTTACCCAAATCATCTTCATCACAATGCACAGGTAAAATTTGCTATTTTCCTTTTCTTTATAGATTATTTTATTGGAAGAGGGGATAAATATGTTGAAGGATAAGACAATAGGAAAGCATGCAATAAAGAGAGACAGAGAGTGAAACAAAGGAAAATAAAAGAATAGTTAGGAGAGTATATGTTATACTGGAAAGGTCACTGGACTTGAGTGTAGGGAGAGCTACAACTGCTGTTTCTACCTTCTCTGTGATTCACTGTGTCCCACTGGGCAGGAACTCTACTTCTCTGGAACTCACTTTCCTTGTCTATAGATGTGTATTGGGAAGGAGGAGAAGAGGAACTACCAGATAAATTCAACATTTTATATGATTGACTTATAAAGGGCTTGGTAAATGAGGCTCTAAAAAGAGGAGAGCGAGAGAGACCAAACAAACAAACAAAAACAAAACAAAATAGAGAGAGTAGGAAGGAAAAAGAGAGAAAGATCAGGAACAAAGGGGAAAAATATGAGTGACTTAAAAAGGAAACCTTGACACATCTGCCCAATTTCATGAATCAGTCTTAAAATTAGTAATGGATTACTCTATTATTCTACATTTTTCTGACAGTGTGGTCCCCAGAGCAGCAACAGTAGCCACTCTATGAATTTATCAGTTCCATACCAACACTAACTGAATTCTTAACTCTGGGGATGAGACCCTGCAATCTGTATTTTAACAAGGCCCCCAAATAATTCTGGTATATACTGAAGTTTGAAAATTACTCAATATAGAAATGCAAGAAGAAGGAAATTTATAAAGTTAAATTAGAATTTCTTATGCCTGTTGCTTAAGAAAGATTGATCATATTTATGTCTTTCTACAGAGAGAGAATGTTTCTCTTCCCCAGTGGTCTTATGGACTGTTGTAGGGATCTCCATCCTACTACTCAGTGTCTGTTTTATCACCAGATGCGTTGGTGAGTTCTGAAGGTCAAATTCAATCTCCCTGGTGAATATTAGGAGTAAATTCTTTCTTGCTGCCTGTAGGTTCTCTTCTCCCATAAAGAGTACTTATATAGTATTTATATTCTACTTCCCCCCCCTATTTATCCCCTGGTTATTCCTCAAGCCAGAAACACCAACTAATATAGAACTGTTACCAAATTTCAGTAACTTCTGATGCATTTTTCATCATGGACAGTTTTCATATCCATGGTGGCCTTGAGTCCTCCCTTTTGTCCCCTTGTTACTGATTAGTGTAACCCTTTCTATGAGGTCCTAACCAGAGACATGACAAATCACTCTTTGGAAGAAAGGGTAGAGAGAGTTAGACTTGACATAAGAGAGACTGATAACACTTTTGTTTTCTCAGGGCCTTTGGACCTGAAATAAAGTACATTCACTTTTATAAATGAGGAAAACCATAAAATGTAAATTACCTCTTCTTTCTTTCAGTAAATCTCACTGCCTCTCCATGCAGAAAGAAAAGTAGATAGTAATAAAATATCATAATAATTGTTGGCACTTTTCTTATGAATACAAAAATGATAAAATTTATTTTATTAAGAGTAATAAACATTAACTGTGCCCCTGTCCTTACAGTGACATATCGGATCTTTCAACTGTGTGATGAGAAAAAGGTCCAGCCAAAGGACGAGTTCATAGATTTCTCCTGCAACAATGATGGATCAGGTAAAATGTTCCTTAAATTGGAACTTCAAAATTTACTTATCAATATTTTTTGGCTTTCTAGGTTGATTTGGAGGTAAATAAAGTAGTTAGAGTAGGTCCTGTTTTTTAAAAAAAAAAAGTAAAATCTTGCCTGTACTGTAATAGAAGGATAAGGAGTTGGGTAAGAAGACAGGACATGAAATTAACATTGGAGCAAAAAATCTTAGGGCACCTGTAGCAAACTTTTAGAATAAATTTAAGGTATATATCTGAACAGTAAATCTGGAAGTGGATGGTGTTATCCCCAGGAGTGTACTTTTTTTTAAAATTCATCACCTGCTTCCAAAATGAAATACAGGAAAAAAAAAGTATAGAATAGGGAATTTGGAAATACCTCAGAAATATACTTGGTATGCTCTTACATACAGCACTGTTCCAAGTCTTAGAAAAATGTCATGTGACACTAGAAAATGACTTCCTTCTTTGGGCTATAATTTCCTCACCATCAAATCGAGAGAGACTGGACTATTTATTTTTAGTCTAAGAAATTTAGCCCATCTGTACGACCAGTCTGGAGATTTTGTTGAAAGTACATTATCCGGGTAACATGAGAGATGGTTGCTTAGAGGTTATTCAAGTAAAATGCGTAACCTTCTCTGAATTTGGCAGTCTAAGAACAGATAATAGGGTCTTATATCAATAGCATAACTGAGATAGTTAGTGTATAAAACATATACAGAAAATAAGGATTATGCTCAAAAGACAAGAATATTGCTCTTTGTGTATATTGACATAAGAATTATCTAAAGTCTTAGACAGTAAGACGGGGAGCAGGGAATGGAGGTATGAACAAGGCTTCTGACTATAAATGATGGACTTCACTGGGCCAGATGAAACTTTCCATTTTCTCACTTAGTTCATATGGGGACATTCATGGAAACTTCTCTTCTCTTAGGTTCAATCAAGAATTGCTGTCCATTGAGATGGGTGCATTTTCAATCTAGCTGCTACTTTTTTTCTACTAACACCATGCGTTGGTCAGCAAGTTTAAGAAACTGCTCAAGTATGGGAGCTCATCTGGTGGTTATCAACACACAGGAGGAACAGGTAGTTGAAGAAGAGCCTCCCCCAGTGTCAGTGTGGCATTCTCCACATAATCTATCCCTTTTTCCATACATATGTACAGTGTTTGGAACACAACTACTATTTTTAAATGAATGTACTGAAATACATGCTATTCTTACTATCTCTGTAAGCCAATACCTACTTTAATTTATTTTCATTTCTAGAAGAACCAAAGAAAAAAAGAAATTTCCATGTTTAGTTCCTCTATTAGTAAAGCAAAAAAAAAAGCTTGGGAGTCCATTTTAGAATGACCATTATGTTTATAAACCTATTTGAAATAAAGAAAGCAGATAGTGCCCATTAACTTTAAGCTGTAATTAATAATGTTTTGTATTAAACTATGCAGTAGATTTTGCTACAAATAACAGTAGATAAACTCTGAATGAATTATTGAGAGACTCATTTGTTTAAAGTTCTTTTTTGTTCATTTACTTTTATGTTGTATATATTTTTACCACAATTTAAAAAATCAGAAGATAATCCCCCATGATCTTAATGTTTCAGGGCCATGTATCTATCATCTTTAGTTCAGATCTTACTTTTTCTCTTTAAATAACAATTACCTTCAACACTTCTTTAGAATTAAAATAACTGATCTCTTTTTTTTTTTTACTGTGTATCTTCCATAGGAATTCCTTTACCATGCGAAACCTAAAATGAGAGAGTTTTATATTGGACTAACAGACAGGGAGATTGATGGTCAGTGGAAATGGGTAGATGGCACACCTTTCATGGAGTCTCTGAGGTAATTTCCTTCTTGTAGGAGAATTTAACAGTACCCCAAATCCTAAAATTAGCCCATTGTTGAGGGTAGTTCTCTGAACCTCCTTCTGTTCCATGAGTTATATTCAGGTCCATCCTACTGCTCATGTTCTAAGACCATCTCAGATATAAAGGGAAGTAGATGGGCATGAAAAGAGGAGTAGAATTGAATACTAATACTTTGGAAGTGCAGCAGGAGCAAAGTGTGAAATTCAGAGTCTTAAGTCCCCAAACTGTAATAACTGAGACAAAAATAGTGATTTTAGAAACATAGAAGCTTCTTATGGGATATAAAAGGGAACCCCCTTGATAACATCTCTTTTCTCCTTAATAATGGCTTTATGTCATTAAAGCACAGCATTTTGGAGTTTTCAAAGTGTTAATCTCATTTGTTGTCTCACTTAACCTAAATTACGTTTTTCTGAGGTACATCGTTATGATTAACTTCACTTAACATTTGAGGAAACCAAAGGTCAGAGGATCTTGATCAGTTCTGAGATTATAGCCCTCATGCTCTGATACTATAAATAGTTGCTTTGCTACAACACTGTAACGCCATTGAAGTGTGCACCTAAGTTAATATGAACTCTGTGTAGAGTAAAGGGAACCAAATGTGAGATGACATGTGAATGAAAAGAAAACAAATCCACCAGAACATCAGTCATTCCCTCAACCTCTCATTCAAGGTCTAAGTCTTTGAGGGAGCTTGACAGAATGGAAAGACAGAAAGATCCAGTTCAGCTTCACTACTCACAAACTGTATGACTTAGACAAATGGTTTAGCTTTCCTGAGATCCCTTGTCTTCATCAATAAAAGGGTGAGAGGTGTGAAAGTGTTAAGCAGAGAAAAAAAGTCAGACTCGTGGACACAGACAACAGTACGGTGATTGCCAGAGGGGAGGGGGCGAGGGGGAGTAGAAAAGGGTAAAGGAAGGATAAATGGGATGGAAGAGGACTGGACTTGGGGGGCAGGGATTAAAGTCACAATACAATATACAGATGATGTTTTATAAAATTTACACCTGAAACCTATATAATTTTATTAACCAATGTCACCTCAATAAAGTTAATTTTTTAAAAAAATAGAGATTATAATACCTACTTCACAAAATTGTGAAATAACACAAGTAACTTGCCTAGTATATTAGATTACTTTACCTTTTGTAGCTGAGATTTTAAATCCCCCATGTTGGTTTTTTTCTTTTCAGCTTCTGGGATATAGGCGAGCCCAACAACTTAGCTACATTGGAGGACTGTGTCACTATAAGAGACTCTACAAATCCTAGGCAAAGTTGGAATGATATATCTTGTTTCCTCAGTATGTTTCGGATTTGCGAAATGCCAGAAAAAAATATTTTGAACAAATAAAAATCTCCAAGAACAGAAGGCACAACTTAAATGTATAAATGAGGAAGAACAAGAGTGTGCACAGAGCCACAACTCCAATATGAGAAACATACGCATTGCACTTCATAAGGACTTCTAAAGTGTTTGATGTTTTGATGTAAATAAAAATAAGTAACTCTGAATGTTATAATTCATGATACTGACCGAAGTGCATTTTTTTCTGTATTAGTTTCTCAGGCTGTCTCAGAATTTACCAGGCAATTCTCTAGCAACTGTTGTGAGAAGAAATGCATGCTCCTTTTGGTACATTTGCTTCATTTGAGAGAATTTATATGAAAATACAAGGACAAAGAGCAAGTACAGAATTCAACAAAAAAGAGGGTTGTGGAAAGTGCCTTTGAACAATTGCCTGAATCCACGCTCTCAGTCAGCTCCTCTTCTTGCTAGTTTCTGAAAAGTCTGTCTTCTCTTCTTGGTTTCATACTGTTTTTACCCCTGCCCAAGTATATAACCTCGATACGTTCTTCTGTACAAGGAGTAAGAAACTTCTTCAAGTCATGAAACTTATTATTGCTCAAAAACTGGTGTGGACTTATGGGCCAAAGGCCTTACTGAGCCTTTTTAAGGAAAGGCCATGCTAACCTTCAGCTCTAAACAGGCTATCATCCAATCCACTCCCTTTTCTCTCTATTCTCTTCCATTGACTAATTAGATCTCACCTGAATTTGTAGCTATTGTTCAGCTAGGGCCAGAGTTCAATAGTCAAATAATCCTAAGAAGACATTCAGCTTGACAGTTTTCTATTTCAAGCTTATTCACTTATTGCATAATATTCTATTAATATTGATAAAGTTACTCAAGAATATGTAAATAACATTGCCTTTTATGACCATGTTTCTTGCACACAATACCATAAAGAACATCAAAATTCATACACGGAAATCAGTGTGTAATTGTTGAATGGGAAAATCCAACTGAACAAGTAAATACAATATATTGGCTTTCTTTACAAATCTTTATTTCTCTTAGGCATAAGTGGTTTTGAAATCAATACTCCTTTAAGCCAAAAGTCTTTCAACCTAAAAGTAATCCAATACATATATTTTAAACTCTCTAATTCTCTTTTTCAAATCATAAACGTCAATGAGAAAAGACCTATGGAAGACCTATGGAGATTTTTTTGTTCTTTGTTATTTTCCTGTAGGTAGCTATAATTTGATTATTTTAAATTTTATTTCAACAATTAAAGACATGAAAACTTCCTATGACTTCAAAAGTTTAATAGCAGGATGGATATGTATCTTTATATATATATATAGATAGATAGATAGATAGATAGATATAATCTCCTCTTATCTGTGATTTTGCTTTCCATGTTTTCAGCTACCTATAGTCAACTGTGGCCTGAAAATATTGAATGAAAACTTCTACAAATAAATAATTCATGGGTTTGGAATTGTTTACTGTTCCAAGAAATATGATAAAAAACCTCACACCATCCCACTCTGTCCTGCCCAGGACATGAATAATCATCCCTTTTTCCAGTGTCCTACCTCCATACTGCAAAGCAACCTGTCCATTAGTCACTTAGGAACATCTCCGTTATCAAATCAACTGTTATGGTATTGATGTGCTTGTGTTCAAGTAACCTTTATTTCACTTCATAATGACCTCAAAGGGCAAGGGCAGTGATGCTGGCAGTTTGAATATGCCAAGAGAAGCTTTAAAGTGTTTTTCTTTCAGTGAAAAGAGCTTATAGACAAAAAAAACAAATGCACCATAATGCACGCAAACATACACACACATTCAGAAAAGAATTATAAAACAGATGATGCTTTTAAATACTAAATTTAATTTTACTTAAGTTTAACAAATAAGAGATTGAAGTGAAGTTATTCTGAAACTTCAAGGATTTTTTAGGCTTTTTAAGTTAGCAAAAAAAAATTATTTCCTAAAGGTCCCTCTGAAGTAAATAAAAATTATAAAGAACTATAATTTTTTATAACAATATAAATGTTCTTCTTGCCCTTCTGTTTTCTTTTTTCCCCAATCCTCTTTTCCTTTTCCATTTCTTAACAAAAGAGTCTTAAAATGATTCATTGGATGGTGCAGAACAAGGTAGCTTTTACATATATAGGCATGCATGTATGGGGATGACGTTGGGTGGAAAGGCGCCAAATTTCTGCTACAGGGATTTAGGCCCTGGGTGGGTTGAATCTGTATAAGGGGAAGGGTGGGGGCAGGAAAGGTAGTAAGAGTGTGGAGGATTTATTGGATTCCAGAGGCCATCCTGGTGAAGTGTCAGACTGGCCCAAACTGTGGAAGCCTGAGATCATTTGAAGAGCATGGGTGTCTGAAGTTTTGATCTTCTTTCTTAAATAAGTCCCTTTAATATTTCATATAATAATGGTTTGGTGATAATGAACTCCTTTAGTTTTTCTGTCTGGGAAGCTCTTATCTACCCTTGTATTCTAAATGATAACTTTGCTGTGTGTAGAGCAATCTTGGCTGGACCTCCCTGATTTTCATGACTGAATATTTCTTGCCAATCCCTTGTAGCCTGCAAAGTCTCTTTTGAGAAATCAGCTGACAGTCTTATGGGAACTCCCCTGTAGATAATGAACTGCTTTTCTCTTGCTGCTTTTAAGATCCTCACTTCACCTTTAACCTTAGGCATTTTAATTATCATGAGTCTTGGAGTGGGCCTCATTGCATCCATCATAATGGGGATTCTCTGTGCTTCCTGGACTTTCATGCCTATTTACTTCACTACATTAGGGAAGTTTTCTTTCACTATATTTTCAAATAGATTTCCAATTTCTTGTTCTTTCACTTCTCCTTCTAGAACCCCCTATGATACGAATGTTGGGCCTCTTAAAGTTGTCACAGAGGTTGCTTATACTATCCTCATTTTTTTAATTATTATTTTCTCTTCTTGATGTTGTGATTGGTTGTTTTTTGTTTCCTTATGTTCCAAATTCTTGATTTGATTCTTGGCTTCATTCACTCTAGTGCTGTTTCTATGTAAATTGTTTTTTATTTCAATTAGTGTATACTTCATTTCTTACTAGATCTTTTTCATGCTGTTGAGGTCCTCACTAAGTTCCTTTAGCATCCTTATAAACAGTTTTTTGAACTCTGTGTCTTATAGATTGCTTATCTCCATTTTGTTTAGCTCTTTTTCTAGAGTTTTGATCTGATCTTTCATCCGAGCCATGTTTCTTTGTCTCCTATTTTGGCAGCCTCTCTGTGTTTGTTTCTATGTATTAAATAGAGCTGCTTTGGCTCCCTGTCTTGGCAGTGTGGCCTAATGCAGTAGGAGTCCTATAGAGCCCAGTAGCACAGCCTCCCCTATCACCCAAGCTGGGTACTCTAGGTATGCCATTTGTGTGGGCTGATTACACCCTCCCCTTAGAGTTGAGCCTTAGTAGCTTTTTGCAGATCAATGAGGGATTTGCCCAGGCCAGTCAGCTGCAAGGATTGGCTGTGATGACTTACCACCAACTTCTGTCCTCCACGGAGGATCAGCTGTGCAAGGGCAGGGTGGTGGTGCTCTGACATAGTCTATAGCTATCCACTGCTTGCTTTGGCTGTGGGGTTTCCCAAGTGGTGCAAGCCAAGGTCAGCCTCCACCTGTGTTTTGCCCAGGGCCATCCTTCCTGAGCTGTAAAGCAATCTGAGAAGGCTGCTATTTGTGATGGGCTTGGAGATTCCCAGGTGAAGCCAAGCTGCCTATTAGTGCTGTGCCTGGGGCTCACTGAGGCCTGCTGCTGCTTGTTTGATAGAATTTAGGAAGATGTGAAGCATGAGCCAAGAACAGCCATTCATATGGAAAAACAGCTTGGGTGGGCCCATAAACTGGATGGGACAGAGTCTCTGGGGGTCTTCAAAGTGGGTCAAACAGTTTTAGCCAGGTTGATGGAGCCTCAGAAATGGCACCAGCTTGCCTGCTCTGTGGAGGGAGAGTTTAAAAAATGAACAATGGCTTGTTTGTGTTGATGCCAGACATTTAGGTTTCTCCCTGTATGCCACTGGTGCCTTTCAAGCTGCCACCCTGGTGCTGGAGCTCAGAGGGAGTAAGGCTGAATAGGAGAGCCATTTGCGGGTTCTTTCAGAGGAACTGCTTGGGGCTCCAGAGGTTTCTTCCACTGACTCAATCCCTGCTGGTTTTTAGAGCCAGAAGTTGTGGGGACTTATCATCCTGGCACTGGAACCCTGGACTGAAAAGCCTGGTGTGGGGCTGGGACTCCTTGCTCCCAAGATTTCCCTCCCAAAATTTTATTCACCACACGTGTATAAGGAACAGCTCGTTCCATGTCTGCGCCCCTTCTACCAGTCTGGATGCATGTGGTTTCTTTAAATCTGTAGTGTTAGACTTCCATTCAACTCAATTTCTGACAGTGCTGAGTGATGGGTATTCTATCTTTTAGTTGTAATTTTGATATAGTTGTACAAAAAAAGTGAGCCATGTCTGCATACACCATCATCTTGACTGGAAGCCCCTTGGCATCATTTTTATATTTAATTAGTTTTCTGTGTACTGACTAATAATTCATCTCTTAACTCTCCAGAATTATGCATCACTTTCAATGCATTCAAATGCATTCTCAGTCCCATATATTCATTGCGAATATAATCTTCTTGGAACTCTGACCTGGGATTGTTCTGAGGTATGTTCCACAACCATATTTTGTTGATTTGTATTACAAAAGAAATTTTTTTGTCATCTTTAAGGTTATTTCAAATTATGATACATCAGTACAATAAAACACTATTTATTTATAAGGAACAAGTTTCCAAGTTATATGTTAAGTAAAAAAATGCAAGGTGTTTAACTTATGTATATAACATTTCCATTAGTGTAAAAAAATATGGGTTATATATTTATATATGTTACATTACACAAAAACATAGAAATATCAAAAACTGATCATGTAGTTACTCTGAAGAAGGATTTAGGGGCTGGAGTTTAGGGTGGAAAAGAGATTTACTTTATACTTTTATTAATGTTTTTACTTTATAATTTACTTTATAATGTTTGTCTTTTAAAAGATTTACCACATTATGTCTTCAAAGATAAAGACAGTATTTACACTTTTTAAGTGTTTCAAATTTCTAGGACTACCACAGTGTACTACACTAATTCGCATTTATTTTTATGAAGTTACTATCAGCTGTCTTAAAAAAATTTTGAAGAATAAGAGAGATGCCATGAGTATTGAAAACAGGCTGAAAGAGACGAAGGGTTGTCACAGGAATACCAATCCGAAGGCCACACAATAAACCAGGTAAGAAGATGTTCGCCCGGCCCCTGGTGGCAGCATGGAGCTAATGAAAAATGACATTCGTCCAGATGTATAAAATCACAAGGGGTCACATTTTATTGACAACTTAAGCTCTACCAGTACACAATTTTATATAAATAAAAATGAATAATGTTAATTATACGAAGCCTATGAGTATTTACATAAAGTTATTTCAACAGGTTTTTGTAGACTTTGTAACAGTAAATATGGCAAACAAAGTCACTTAGCACTAGTGGAAAGGATCAGCTTTAAATACAGACCCATACGTACACGGGTGGAATCAATCAATCAAGCACTGATATTCAGACTCAGAAGATCACCAATTTGCAAAATACTGTTTTAAAAATAGTGTTAAGAAAGTTAGGTCAAAGGGCTCTTGCTTGACATTTTTTAGCTTAGATCCAGGAAACACCAGCATTTTCAGAATTTCAAGAAAAACAACTATATTTTGTTGATGCTGGATATGACTGCTCCATAATTAGTTCTACATATATCATAAAAGCATAAGTTTCAGTTATTAAAACAATGACTTCCTTATTAGTTTGAACTATAGTTTTATAGCTCCAAAGAAACATGCTAACAATTTACATGAGTTGAAAATATTATTCAAATTAAAAATATAGAATCATCAATACAATGTTACTTCAAATAATTAGGAATTTCTATCTATCTGTTAGCCAAGAGGCCAAGTCACCTGCAGTAGGTTTCCTGTAATAACAAAGACAGTGCATTTCACCTCTTAGGTCTGAGTCATATGCCTGGCTCTCTCATGAACTAGCAATGCAACGGTGAGCTCTTGGGCTTCCCAAGGTTTTCATTTCCTCAGCTATAGAATTGAAGGAGTTTGGTTCAGGTGACTTTTCCACTCAAAAAAAATAATTAATAAGTCAGTCAACTTGAGACTCCCTGCTTTGGTAAGACATTTAGGATAGAGTAAGAAATGAATTTTTTAAAGGTCAATGGACATTTTCTTTCTACCTGGGCAATGCCATAATTCAGGACTATATTTTTTTTAATTTATTGTTGTTCAGTTACTATTGTCCCACCTTTTTTCCCCATTGCTCACCCTTACCCCATCCCCCTCCCTCCCACAGTCAGTCCCCTGCCATTGTCTGTGCCCGTGAGTCTTTTTTCGCGTTCCTTTGCTGGCCCAGTCCTCTTCTTTCCCCCATTATCTTTCTTCCCCCTCCCCTCTGGTCACTGTCAGTTTGAACTATACTGTTGTGGTTCAGAAAACATTTTTCTCATGAAATGTCAATTTTATGACTGATACTATTAAAATGTCTAAAACTGAAGCATCAAACAATTAAAATATATTTAAAAAAATTTAAAGCATTTGTGACATTTGAGTTAAAAAGTTGTGTACCATTACTAGTTGGAATATCCTGCCTTTGAATTCATTTTACATTTAAGTGTGGTTGGTGTGCAATCTTATATTGGTTATATTCATTTCAGGTGCACAGTGTAGTTATTTGACATTGTTACAACTTACAATGTGAATACCCCACTACATTTTAAGAGTTAACAGGAAGAAATAACTAAGACATTGTACCATTTAAATCATTCTTTTAAATGTGTGATAAATGCACACCAACTGAAAAGTAAATTCTTTGAAATACTATCAAGAAAGCAAAGTTAATGAAAGATGATTTTTATAGAAGAGATGATTCTTTCCACGGAAACACCACATAAAAACACATTATCCTGAATGAACTGAACAAAATAAATAAGGCCATCATGATTGAAAACGTTCTGTGATCTAGCAAGTTTTCTCTGCTCCAATGAGGCACGTACATTCTCTTGGTCTAATGGGTTCTTTTTTCTGTCCTCACCACAAGAGCCCCTTCATAACTTTCAGGCGAGTACTCTTCCAGATTTCTGACAAATCCTACTTGCCTTGGAGTTACAAGAAATATTATTCCAGGCCCATTTGTTTTGGTCATTAACAAGGACAACACAATTTTCTTTCTGTTGGTTGTTGGGTCCACCCTTATGCCATAATCTGAAATGGAAAAAAAATGTATATATAATACATACCATACACACACACACACACACATACACACACGGGATGGGTGTCAGGGTACAATGCAGAGAAAATGCCCCTAAATGTCAAAATTTAGAGTTGCACTGTCCAATATAAGTATAATTGTATGCTGGCATAAAGGTTATTCAATGATGCTGAGTAGCACTTTTACATTGGTGTCCTCCAACCCAAAATGAATTATGCTTGCTACCTCCTTCCCACCTTTGCCTATGAAGTTCTTTCACCCCAGTCAATATACTCACACCATACGTGGGTTAAATGGCGTCCTATCCACCCATTGCCATGAGCCTTGAGGATTCTCACGTGAAAGTCCCAGGAAATATGAAAATTGTCTCTCCAAATACTGGATAATAAAGCTCTGCATAAAAAATTAAATTCTTATAAGTGTATTTGCATTTATCAGGTAATAGATGTTATGTTAGGAAAAAAAGGAAAGAGGTTGAATAGATTACTAGTTAATCTCAAGAATGTTGGTATCAGATGCATCTGTTTTCATATCCTGCCTCTGCCGTTTACTGGGTAATGTTAGCAAGCCTTTTCATCCCACCAAACCCCAGTTTTCTTATCTTCAAAACAGACAACTCCACTACTTCATAGAGTTATTGTGAAGATGAACTAAGATGATACTTGCAAACCACTGAGCAAATGCTTCATAAAATCAGATTATCTGGAACTTCTGTTTTTAAAATTGCCTTCTTTAATTGTTGCGTTATTTCATTAAATCCCATTTTATTCAAAGAGTCAGCTTATAGATTGCAAGGCCATAAAAACAGAATCCTCCAGAAAACCCTGCTGACCAAAAAAGAGTGGACTGTGAGTCATAGTAGATATATATGGAATATATTACATGAGGAAATAAATTTCAGTTTTTATGTTAAGATTTTCTTATTTATAATTATAACCATGCATCTGAATTATTTTTCGTATGCTTTATCCTGTAGCTATTTCAGTCTCAATTAAACCATTCATTTATTCACTTACCAACTAATTATTAAGACCTAGCCAGAGTGCTAGAACTGTGCAGGGTACTGGAGGTGCAAAAATGAGTAAGGCGCCTCCCAGCCCCTACAAAGTAGGCATCGTTGGAAGAGATGGAGTATTAAGCAAACAACTGTAGGACACTGGAGTAAGTGCCATGACCACACAGTGCAGAGTACCACAGAAGCCCCTCCGATGTAGAGTAGGGAGGGTGGAGTAGGGAGGCTGAGTCAAGGTAGTTTTCTGTAAGAAATAATGCATGGATGAAATCTGCAAAGACCTGAAGAAGTTGGTCATATGAAGAAAATAAGAGAGGAAGTAAAGGCTTTCCAGGAAGATGGAACAGGTGAAACAAAGGCACAGAGGCAGAGCAGAGCAGAGCAGAAGTCCTCTTCCTCTGGAAAGAGATTCAAACCAGCAGGGAAACAGATGGGAGCCGCCCAACACACCTGCTCAGCTTCTGTGTTGATGGTGGCCAGGTGAGCCCCCAGCTCTGCACAGATCCTTTCACTCTCTGCCCATGTATTGCTATCATGAAAAGGAAAATAGCAGTTGGACTGGAAGGCTCCCCAGCCAACAGGACAACAATTCCAGGTGACCCCTAATGAGAATATTGAAGTGAAAATTAGTTACAAAGAAGTATTCATCTGTAATAGGTCGCATAACTATTCTACTATCTAGTATCCAGGTATCATTTATGGGGAGTAAGACCAAGATTACCAAAGTCATTTTTCCCTCTTTAAAATTATTCTTAATTACATTTCTAAATATCTTCTAAACAAAAGCATTGGAATCATGTAATGACTATAAGAAAGTTACAACATATTCTCTTAGAAGAGATGATCATTTTTCAACATCCCTACATCTATTTATGTTCACATTTAAAGTGTTTCCATAGAAAGCCTTTTACAGGACATTTTATCTGAAAGGAGCAAAGAACCTGCTAAAACTCTCAAACATTTCCCCATTCACCCAAATGAGACTTTATCAATTCCAGAATAATAAAGAGATAAAGACAAGTGTAGGAGGAAAAAGTCCTTACGATATGTCTGAATCAAAAGAAATGAAATTAAATTAACATTAAGTTTTGGATGCCAAAGATGACCCATAAATGTGCCATTATATTCTCCAGATACTTGAATGATTACAGTCAGGAGAAATAGTTCCATCTCAATTACTGATGTTCACTCTTGTGCCAGATTCTCATATTACGTTATTTTACTCTCTCTTGCTTTACTACAGATATACTTTAAATCATATTATAAAGTTTAATGGAAGTGGAAAAGAGAAATTCTCTTATGCTTCTCTGGTACCTGTACCTTTCAGTTCTGATTTTTCTTCTTTGCATGTCAGCTTCATGTTGTTCCCTGGTAACTTGAACATTCTCATGCTTTTCTCACAACGTAGAAAGCTGTTACGAGTCACTGTCAAGGAGGAACAAAGTTTATTTCATTTCTCTACATAACCACTTAATTTGGCCAATGGGACCTGACTGTTTTAAACTTTCTCTTATCCTAATAGTTAAGGGCCTCACATTCTCTTTTCTTCCTATACAGCTCCTTTGTTGCAGCTCCAGGTGAATTGGTTGAAATTGCTGAAATTAATATTTTTGTTATCATATTGTCCACTTTGTGCTTCATGGAGATAGTTTTTTAAACCTTTACGTGCATATGATTTTTAAGCATATTTTTCTATCAAAATTTGTGTCAGACTGGAGATTTTTGGTGAATACTGGAATATTTCTACAAAATTGTATGATACTTATACACTTATTTACCTTTAGGATATTTTTATTTTGAAATGTAACCACATGTAAAGAAGTGAAAATATAAATGTACAAGGTATCAACAGATTGTAAAGTGAACACTCCAGGTAACTACCCAGCTCAAGAAACACAACATTGAGAGCACACGAGGCAGCCTTTACATCTCAAATGCAACCTACTTCCTGTCTTTTAAAGGTAACCATGACATGGCTTTTAAGGTAATCACTTTGTACTTGGCTTTACCAGTTTACCTCTTAATAGCATATCCTTAAACAATATATCAGATTTGCCTGCTTTCAAATTTTATATAAATGGAGTCATATAATATGCATTCTTTTGTTTCTGTTTTCTGCTCAGTGTTGTGTGAAATTTATCTACGTTGTTACATGCAACTATAATTCATCCATTTTCATTGCTGTGAAGTGATCTATTGTCCTTACACAATAACAGGTATTTATCTATTCTTCTGGTCGATATTTGCATTGCTTCCAGTGTTGGCGTATTGCAAGTTATGCTCCTCTGAGCATTTTTGATCATGCATCATTCTGGACCACATAAGCATTCACTTCCGCAGGATCTATTCCTAGGAGTGGAATTGCTGGTAATACTATATACATCCTGTCAATTGTGATAGTGGCAAACTTTTTCAAAATGAGTGTGCTCTACAAATTTACACTTCTCCCAGGAGCAATTCATTGGAGGTCCAGTTGCTCCATATCATTATCAATATTTGATAGTGCCAGACTTTTTCTTTAAGAGTTAAGAGGTCTTTTTTTTTTTTTCTACACTTACGCCATTAATTTATAGGGAATGAGTTCCAGCATCTCAGGCTCCTTTCCCTTGGTTCTCGCAAATTGTGCTTCTCTGGGTGGGGCAGGCTGGCACCAGCTGAACCCAGGTAACTTTCTCTTTGGCTTCCTTCTTTTTCTCATCGTTTTCTTTCACACATTTTTAGGAAGCTATCTTGGTTCTTAGAATGCTTTAATATGCTCAACATGTACATTAATTATCTTGGCAAGAATCTCACCTTTAACTTGTTTGTTTACAACGATGCCCACTGCATACTGGGTGACGTTGTAGACGCTTCCAGTTTTGCCATGGGAGCATTTGTGGGGCATTTGTTTTTGGACAGTGCCCTTTCCTTTGATATCTGTATCATCTTTCTTGTAGATATGCATGTATGAGGTCAAAGGAAGAGCTCCGTGTCTTCTGAAAGGCCTGGAGAACATACAGTAGTGCCAGTCCCCTTTCTCTTTCTATTAATCATTTTGGAACATGGAGCTTCTGGCCAAAAGGCAGTGCCAGACTTTTTAATTATTGCCATACTGTCATGTTTGCAATGGCATCTTACTGTAAATTTAATTTGCATCTCCCTAAAAACTAATAGTTGGCTTTTTAAAATATTTTTGTTTTTTATGTCTTTTTATGTATTGTTGTTCAGTTACAGTTGTCCCACCTTTTCCCCATTGCCCACCCCGCCCCGTGCCCTCCCATTCCCACAGTCAGTCCCCCGCTTCCTATGTGTCCATGAGTCCTCTATTTGTGTTCCTTTGCTTGCTCTTTCTCCTTCTTTCCCCCATTACTCCCCTTCTCCCACTATCCATTTGTTCTTTATTTCCAAGTCTCTGGTTCTATTTTGTTCATTTGTTTGTTTTGTCAATTAGGTGAGATCATGTGGTATTTGTCTTTCACCACCTGGCTTATTTCACTTAACATAACACTTTCTAGTTCCACCCATGCTGTCTCAAAAGGTAGGGGTTCCTTCTTTCTTTCTGCTGCATAGTATTCCACTGTGTAATTGTACTGCAGTTTTTTATCCACTCATTTACTGATGGGCACTTAGACTGTATTCGATCTCTCGCCTATTGCAAATAACGCTGTTAGGAACCTTGGGGTGCATAGGTTCTTTTCAATTGGTGATTCTAGATTCTTAGGGTATAGTCCCAGCAGTGAGATCCCTGGGTCAAAAGGCAGTTCCATCTCTAGCTTTTTGAAGAAATTCTATACTGTTTCTCACAGTGGCTGCACCAGTCTGCATTTCCACAAACAGTGTACTAGGGTTACCTTTACTCCATATCCTCGCCAGCACTCATTTGTTGATTTATTAGTGGTGATCATTCTGACCAGTGTGAAGTGACGTCTCATTTCACTATCTCACAAATGCCTAGTGATGTTGAGCATTTTTTCATGTGTCTATGGACCCTCTGTATGTCCTCCTTGGAGAAGCGTCTCTTCAGGGCGTTTGCCCATTTTTAAATTGGATTATTTGTCTTCCTGATGTGGAGTCCTGTGAGTTCTTTATATATTTTGGAAATCAAACCCTTGTCCAAAGTATCATTGACAAGTATGTGTTCCCATATGGTTGGTTCTCTTTCCATTTTGCTGATGTTTTCTTTAGCAGTGCAAAAGCTTTTTAGTTTGATGAAGTACCATTTGTTTATTCTTTCCTTTAAGTCCCTTGTTCTAGGGGACATATCAGTGAAAATATTGCTGCATGGAATATCTGAAATTTTCCTGCCTATGTTTTCCTCTAGGACTTTTATGGTGTTCCGACTTATATTTAAGTCTTTTATCCATCTTGAGTTTATTTTTGTGTATCGTGTAAGTTGGTGGTCTAGTTTCATTTTTTTGCATGTACTTGCCTAGATTTCCCAACACCATTTATTGAAGAGGCTATTTTTATTCCATTTTATGTTTATTGGATACTTCATTTTTCTTTTCCATAATGCCTACTTGAAACTTTGCCTGTTTTTCTGTTGTCAATATTGTTCTTTTTGATCTGAAGTTGTTTATATATTCTGTACAGTAATGCTTTATTAATTATTTGCATTACAAACATCTTCTCTTATTGCTTTCTGTTTTCAGTCAGTGATATTTTTGTTGTACAGTAATTTTTACTTCAATGTAGTGTAATTTGCCCATATTTTCTTGTTGACTAGCCCATTTTGTAACTTGTTTAAGAAATTATTCCCTAATCAAAGTCATGAAAATCTTCATTTATTTTCTAAAAAGTGCTATTGATTTGCTCTTCACATTTTGGCCAATAATCCACCTTGCACATGGTTGGTTTTTGCACATGATATAAGACTGGAGACAAATTTCATTTTTTAAATATATGTAATTAATAGTCTCTACACCATTTATTGAACAGAACTATCCTTTCCGTACAACCCTACAGTATCCCCTTCTGTTTTATATAAAGAGTTTGTACATGCGGAATCTATAACTAAGCTCTCTATTATTTTCCTATAGTCTGTTTGCCTATACTTGTACCTATATTATATTACTTTAATTATAATAACCTTATATGAGATGTTGATATCAGAAAGAACAAGTCTTCCAACTATTTTCCTTTTTAAAGCTAGACTGCAATGCATATGAAAGTTTGCATTTGCTGGTTACTCTTTACTCCTTTGAGGCAGCCCTTTGTAATCCTAGTCCAAAATGAGGGGTGATTTACTACAGTCACCAACTTTGACATGTACAGAAAAAGGCCAAAATTCCATCCTTTATTCCTGATACGAGGCAGCATCACCAAAGAATAGCAGATCCAGTATGTAGCTCTGAATTTTAAATCAAAGACCCTGAAGGCATTATAGGTTGATATGTTGGGGAAAATCAAGGTAACAAAAAGTTTAGAGCAACTTTATGAAATTTTTTGGGAAAATAATTCAAGGACAGCTCTACTTTTGTTAACAACTTACCCAAACAACTTGCAATAAAGCAGGCACTGAGAAGTGAGATGAAAACAATAGCAATGACCCAAGGAATTTGCTGGAAATGCTGGCCTCTTTCTAAAAGGATAAAAAGAAAGATAAATAGCTTATTTTCTTTTCAGCACCAAGAACTAAGGAAACTAAATCTACCAAGGAGTAAGCTAAGTATGAGATTATACAAAACATTTTAGATGTAGAGGAGAACTTAAAGATTTTCTCTAGAAAAAAATCAATTTTAGAGCTTACTAACAAATAAATAAACAAATAAGAAATATTTCAACTTTTTTTGAATAAGAAAGGCTTTTTATAAGGATGACATGAAACTCAAAAATCATAAAAAATTGAAAATTTGGGTACATAAAAGTTAAAACTTCTACATAAAAAACAATGTTAAAGCAAAAGGAATGTCTGGAAGAAAAATCATGTCACAATATTAATCTCTAAACTGTATAAACAATTTTTTAATCAATTAGAAAACAGCAAAAATTTGTACATAAAATTTGATGAAAATTTAATTTGTTGAAATTATAAATTGCCATTAAACCAATAAAAATATGCTCAGAGAAATGTAAACTAAAATATTATATGATTTTTCACAAATCAAAATTTAAAAAGTAAATTAAAAATACAACACTCTAGGTGAGAAAGGAAATAAATGCTGCTGCTGAACTATAAATTAGAAAGCCATTTACACAGATCAAGTTAGCAGCATTTATCACTTTTTAAATGCATTACATTTTCCACAACAATTTCTTTTTTATTTTTAGTTGCAATTTTTAATTATAGTTTACATTCAATATTATTTTGTATTATTTTCAGATGTACAGCATAGTATTAGACAATCATATACAAAGTGCCATGATTTCATTTCTAGAGACTTATCCTATAGATATAACTGAATTTATTTATATAAAAAGGTATTCATTAGAGTACCTTGGAAATAAAATAAAACACTGAAAGCTAATACTTGTATATGTATTGTCAATAATAGAGATTTTAAATTATGGTGAATCCACATGATGAATTCTATATCACAATTAAAACAATCATGCATATGAGTATGTATTGCACTAAAAAATCTCCAAGACATATTGTCAAATGAAAAAGTTTTTCTCAGGACCCCTATTGTTCACTGTGGTTCCACCGAAGTTTGCCATGGTGGGTTGATGAGTTAAAGTAAAACATTAATGTTAAGATTATATATTTCTGCATATGTTCTATATATTTCTCAAAATATTATTTAATGTTCTCATACTACAAATCCATTTGTGTCACCTCAGTAAAACATAAAATGGGATAAAGTTAGAGCCTCAGGGACACCGTGAGCTTTAGTCAATGTGTTTTCTGCGTCTTTCTTCTTTCTCTTCCCTTTAAAGAAACTTGCCAATTTACTTTTTCTTTCTATCTTATTTTTCTCTAATACACTTTACCTCTTCTCTTGGACCAATTTATGCTTTACAAAGAAGTTTCTGTTGCCCAGTGTATTTGAATCTATCGATAGCTTTTCTCTTCATCAAAGTCATTCTCATTTTCTTCCACTTCTCCTCCCTATATCATCAATTCAGTCTTAAAAACTACAACTATCAATTTTATTTTAAAATCTTAGTCATAATTTTATCTGCATCTTTAAAAGAGAAAAGAGAGAAGTACTCACGTTCATTTTGAAGTTCTTCTTGCCCCATTGTGTGTTAACTCTTTTGTTGTCCAGTGTTTGGGAGGAACAGATGTCTCTTGTATTTTTTCCCAGGCTCTATTTCTGTGGATAAAAGAATATATTCAGGAATACTTGAGAATAAACATCAGTCTTACTATTCTGGTGGGACTGTAAAGTTCCCAATATAAAAGACTTAACTCAAAAGAGGAAGTCTGTTTAAAGACTGAGGTTTCCTTTGATTCACTGTGGGAGATGGAGAAAAGAAAAAAGGAAATTGAGAAAGCAATACCCAAAAAACAGTAGAAACTTCCATAAGTAACTTGAGGTCACTAATCAGTGTGTCATGTAAAGTTATTTATTATTATTGTATTTATTATTATATTTATTTAAAATTATTGTATTTATTTTTATTCACTTAAACAAAAAAATTAGCTATACCCTAACAGAATAATCATTATACCTAATAAAAATTTAATGCATCTATTTGACAGACTTAGAGCAATTACTGTCTGCTGATAAGGTCCCAGTGCAGATGTAAGAAAAGAGGGTCCTCACACCTTCTTTCTGATTGTAGCAGCCAAGCTTGAATGGGGGAATACAGTGCAAAAACATGGAATTTTTACAGTCCAGAAATAACCTTGTAAACAGATGAAGAGCCTTATTTACTCCAAAAAAGAATCTAAAATACAAGTTTACAAGTGAAAAAAAATTAATGCTCTCATTTTTCTCTTTTCCTGAATATAATATTTTAAATGGCACTATATGCTTTAGGTAAGCTCTGCCCTAGATCTCTGTTCTGAATAAGTTGTGTGCAAAATGGTAAAAGACAATGTGACCAATGAGCAAAAGCTTTTAATGTACACAATGTACGTACTTTGTACTTAAAGACATGAAAACCTTTGTTCTGGAGTTGAGAAAGAGGTGGTGGAGCTGTTGATTAAATCTTAAAATTTTCACAGATGAGAGAAAATAGGTTTTTAATGCAATGAAAGTATGATATTCTGTGATGAAGACACCATCAGGGTCCCTGACTTCATTTACTGTACTGTCATGGACTGAATATTTTTGTCCCCCACCATTGAGAAGCTGGTACCTTGATTTCAGACTTTCCAGCCTCCAGAACCGTGAGAAATAAATGTCTGTTGTTTAAGCCATCCAGTCTTCGGTATTTGGTTATAGCAGTCCAAGAGGACAAAGACAAGTAGCTAACAGCCCAGAGATCCTTATTAAATTTTAGCTTCCAGAATATGTCCTTTTCTCTATGTTCATAAACTACAATACTACTTTAAATATACATAAACACATATAATGATCTTGAATAAAATACTACTTTATTATGTTAAATTGGGAGTGAGAGAAAGTAAAAGTATAAATTTGACAATACATGTCATTTCCAACACAGTTACAACCAAAAGTATTACCACACCAGCAACAATTGCCCACAAACGCTCATACACAACACTGTAACCTAGATCTTGTCTAATGTAATATCTATTGTTTATTAAAAGGACCTAGGACTCATGGGTATATGTAAATCTTGCTTACAGCAAGAAAAAAATAAACTATATTTAGCACATTTTGTGTTCCTAGAAAACAAGAATAATTTTGAAAACATGAGAGAAACTCTTTTTTAATATGTTCTGTAAGATAGTTGAGAAGTTATGTCCAAGTTATAGTTAAGATTACAAAAGCACAATGTGAAAATGAACAAAAGCTCTATTAGCATTTCCTTTGGAGTTGAGGGAAAAGTAATAGAGCTGTTGGTTAAACCCTAAGATCTTCCTAGATGAGAGAATTGCAGACTTATTAAAACAAAGGAAAAAAGAAATGTAAAATACTTTGGTAAAATCACAATCATTATCACTGATAAAAGGTGGTAAAAGGTAAAGTGGCAAAGCAGACTGTGCAGCTGCCGTGGTAAACAGTATGGAGTTTCCTCAAAAAATTTTGTCCCAGAAATCCCACTTCTGCCAATATATTCCAAAAAACCTGAATCACTAATTTGAAAGGACATGTATACCCCTATGTTCATTGCAGCGTCATTTACAATTGCCAAGAGCTGGAAACAGCCCAACTGCCCATCAGTAGATGCGTGAATGAAGAAGCTGTGGTACATTTACACAAATGAATACTACTCAGCCATAATAGAAAGGAAATCTTACCTTTTGCGACAGCATGGATGGACCTGGAGATTATTATGCTAAGTGAAATAAGCCAGTCAGAAAAAGACAAATGTCATATGATCTCACTTACATGTAAAATCTAATGAACAAAACAAGCTGATGAACAAAACAGAAACAGAGACATAGACACATGTAACAGACAGCTGTCAGAGAAGAGGGGCTTTGGATAACTGGATGAAAAAAGTGAAGAGATTAAGGAAAAAAAAACCCATATATAGACTGCATAACACATAAACACAGACAGCAGTGTGGTAATAGCCAAAGAGAAAGGAGAGTGGGGATAAGTGGAGGTGAGCAAAGCCGGGGAAAGAGACTTTGGTCAGGGTGATATGTGCACAACACAGTGTGCAGATGATGTTTTATTACATTGTATACTCGAAGCCTGTGTGGTTTTACAGACCAATGTCACCCCAATAAATTCAATTTTTTTAAAAAACCACAGACAACAAGAAATGGAAACATGTCTATTATGGAAATTATGACTAGACTACACAAAAAAAGTCTGTGAAAGGGGCCGAGAAAGAAGTTGTACACCAACTACAGTGATGATGAAAGCAGCAGACAAACAGGATGACAACCATAGCAACAACCCAATGAGTCACCAGAGACCCGCAGCTTCCTCTTTGTTGTATCAAGAACAGTAATCTGGGGTAAAATGTTTCTCAGAGGTAAAGCCAGAGTAAACCAGAAACATTTACAAATGACTATGTCTAGGCCAAGCACAGATATGACTTTCTTTCCATTAGTGCTGCGGATGCATCCTGGAAGACAGACATTAAATGTCTGACATTAAATGTCCTGTAGTTCAGGGCATTAAACAAAGAATTTCCTTCATGTAGTATAGGCAGCATCCATACTTCCAGGCTACTGACTGGGTTTATATATAGAAGATGAAGTTACCCTAAATGGGTCAAGAAAACATTTTTTAATGACTAAAATTTCTCCAAATTGGATGAAAATTATAAACCCACAGATTCAAGATTTGTATTAATCCCCAAATAGGATGAACATCAACACACAAACACACACACACAATCAAGGTACATCATAATAAAATTGCTTTAAAAACAAAAACAAGTAGTGAGGAAATCTTTATTTTTTTAAAACAAAATATTTTCAGATGTTTCACTTTTAAAAAATTTTGTTATTGTTCAAATACCTTTGTCTCCATTTTACCACTACCACTTTCGCTTGCCCCACCTACCCCCATTTCCCACCCTCAATCCTTCCTCACCTGTCCTTTGTCCATGAGTCCTTTATAGTTGCTCCTTGACGACCCTTCCCCTTCTTCTCTCAATTACCCTCCTCCCGCTTCACCTCTGGTTAGTGTCAGTTCGTTTTTTCTTTCAGTGTCGCTGGTTATATTCTTTGCACTTGTTTGTTTTGTTGATTAGTTTCCACTATAGGTGAGATCATATGGTATTTGTCTTTCACCCCCCGGCTTATTTCACTTAGAATAATGCTCTCCAGTTCCACCCATGCTATTGCGAAGGGCAGGAGTTCCTTCTTTCTTTCTGCTGTGTAATATTCCATTGTGTAAATGTGCCACAGATTTTTGATCCACTCATTTATTGATGGGCACTTAGGTTGCTTCCAATAGTTGGCTATTGCAAATTGTGCTGCTATGAACATTGGGGTGTATAGGTTCTTTTGAATTGATTTTTAGGGTATAATCCCAGCAGTGGAATTGCTGGGTCAAAACTCCAAAGAAAGACCACAGACTTCTCAATAGAAATTGACACATTTTTATATAGGTGTACATAGACATCCCATATGACTCAGCAATTTTATTTCTAAGAATTTACTCATGATAAATGAAAACATATACTCACAAAAAAGACTTGCACATAACATTTATAGCAGATTTATTCATAGTAAGTGAACTCTGGAAACAAACCAAATATCTACTGGTGGATAAGCAAATTGTGTTATATTCATACAAAGGACTACTACTCATCATCAATTTTTTAAAAAGTTATTAATGGTAAAATGGCACCAAAATGCTACTGTACTTCAAGTAGCATTTTGCAAGGTTGCTTTGGCAACCTTGGTACTTGAGTTCTGGCTAAGAAAGAATTTAGAACCAAGACTCAAACATAAACAAAGGTTTATTTAGAAGGTCACAGATGCCGTGGATAGTGTGGCTCAGTTGGTTGGAGCATTGTTCCATTAACAGAATTTTGCAGGTTTGATTCCTGGTTGGGGCACACACTTGGATTGCAGATTCAGTCCCTGGTCTGGGCGTGTAAAGGAGACAAGCAATTAATGCTTTTCTCTTGCATTGATGTTTCCCTCTTTCTGTCTCTCTAAAAAGCAATGAAAAAAATGTCCTTAGGTGAGGGGGGGCGGAAACTAAGTCACAGATGTAAAAGAAGTAAACCATGGAAGAAGGGAGCCAGCTGGGCTCTGTGGGCTCAGGAAAAAAGTTCCAGGGTCAAACGAAGGCCCTTGGAGCTTAGGAGAAAGAAAGGCAAAGGTAAAGCTCCTGGGGGAAGTAAAAGAGGGGAAGGTGCAAGTGTGCTCCAGAGAAAGAGGGAGCATACACTGGGTCCTTTGTACTGAGAGTTTTATCTACTCTAAGGGCAGGGATCTTAGAGAAGGTCCCAGGGGAGGATCTCCATAGAATATTCATCAGATTTCCATGTGTGTTTTTTCAGGATTGTGGTCTCTACTCATTGGTTGGCACCTGGGCAGGGGTCCTTAGTCATTGCAGCTGGTTCTGATGCTAGCCATCGCAGTGCCCTGCCTGAACTTGCTGCTCTTCTGAGCCTGGAGCTGAAACACAGCTGAGGGCTAGATGTTTTCTCTGGTTTGTCCAAAACTTCTGTCTGTGGTCAACATACCTAAGGCTTTGCTTCCAAGATCATTTAATGCAAGTCAGAGCCTCATTTTTATGAAGGCTTAATGCTTAAGTGAGTGGTTGTGCAAGGGCTCATATTGGAGTTGTATGAAGCTATTCTTCAGTTTCCTTGT